AAAAAGATGTACTTGTAGGACTATGTATTTCAAGAAAAGTGTGATATAGAAGAATATTCCTAGAGAACACAGACAATTAATTATTCCTTATTTTAAGATGCAAATAAACATTTCCCATTTATGTTACCTGCCTGACTCCTGAAAACATTTAAATTTGCCATCTCTGTAAAACAGGGGAAAAAACTGTTAGTGGCTGAGAGCACACTGGCTTTGGAGTGAGGAAGACGTAACCTTGAAAGCTGGCTCCATTACTCACTCACTGTGCAATCTTGGCAAATTATCTAACCACTCCTTGCTTCAGTTTCCTCATATGTATTTTTCTTCTCTTTTTACTGCTTTCTCAGTTCCCTAATTTGTACAGTACAGTAATTACACTACCAGCTTCAGAGGGTTGTGATGAAACAATGAAATAAAGGATATGAGGCGTTCTCAACAAAAAGCTTGGTGAATACCAAGTGTTAGCTGTCAGTGGTGCAGAGCAGAAGAGAGAGAGGAACCATCTCCAAAGGGAGCCTTAAGTGAGGTCTAGGATTTCAACGAAGAGATGAGGAAAGAAGGCATGCTTTATGCAGAGAAAGGCCTCAGCAAAACCAAAAAATGAGTGGCAAGCATCTTGTCCCCGTGGCCAAAACCGGGGCTTCACAACGAAGCTGAAAAAGACCATCTAGGAAGATCCTGAAAGTCAGGCTGAGGAGAACTATCTAATAAGTCAGTATTTCCCAAAATGTACCATTTTGTGATGCATTTAGGTGATAAAAATGGAATAGGTCATTAAATAACATTCCATCACAGAGTGAGAAAAAAACGCCCTATTTCAATTATTTTGCAAACTTTCTAACAAAGAGAAAAGCTTGATTTGATGCTCATTGTAAGTATCTCTTCAATCGCACTTGCCAAAGTCCAGTTTTTAAAACAGCAGATCTCACTCAGGTTTACAGTAAACCCTAGGGAGGCAGTATCTACATACAGTTTAATACTGTTTTGTTTCTCCCTGCTTTAACTTCTACAGTTAATTCACAATACAGCAAGCGACACTGATTTTCATAAATGGAGAAATAAAGTTTCCACGTAAAATCATATTTAAGTGAAAATAAGTACGAGAATTTAGAGGAAAAAATCAAGTAAAAAAGAGTATGCGGTAATATTTAAATGTGGGGAGGAAACCCACTATGACAGTGTTTCAGAGACACTGCTGTGGGTGTTAAGAGGAGGCCAGGACGGATTTGAAGTAAGGGAGCGGCAAAGCCAGATCGGGATTATGGATCGATCCATCGCAGGCGTGGCACCTCCCTGTGCCCCTCTCCGACCCGCAGACGCCTCTCTCTCCGCCAGGGGCTGGGCAGCTGGCCGGTGCCCAGGCCCGGGGTTCGCGCCCTCAGCGCAGGCCGCAGGCCCGTTGCCCCTAACAACCACCGTGGTTCTCGCAGAGACTCCCGCCATCCCTGCCAGGGATCAGCCTCCCGCTCCTCCCGGACTACCCGGCTCCTCACCACTGCTCAACTTTATCTCTCCAAGTCAACACGGCTCTCATCGCGGCTTCGCTCACGCCCCCGGCCCCTCCTCCTCGCCTCAGCAACACACTCTACTCCGCCGGCCACTTTGGCTACCTGCGCTACCCCTGGCAACGCACATGCGCAGTGAGCTACGCTCCAGGGCTCCTTTCTCCGAATGCGCATGTCTACAGGGATCGCGAGAAAAGAAACAAAAGGACCAGGAGCCCAGAAGGCGCAAGCGCAAACAGGGCGCGCGCGATTGGTCGGGATGGGCGGTGCTCCCGCCGGGATAGTGGAATTGATTGGTGGAATGTGGAAATGGCGGCTGCGATCAAGGGGGCGGTCGGAAAGCAGCCGTGGAGTCTGACGGACTTTCACTATCTTCAGAGTTTGGTTTTAGCCCGGTGCTCTGAGCTGAGAAAATTTCCACTCTTACTCTGCTCCACACCCAGAGCGTCGCACCTCTTGTCTCGTTGCTGCAGCCAGCGCCTACTTAATGGACACGGCTGCGATGGAGAGTCCGAGCCTGGGGGACCGCGAAGCTGCCCCCGCGATCACGTTTAGTGAGCGCCTGAGCCCAGACAGGCAGTGTGACCTTTGGCAAGTTATTTTCCCCTTTCGGGTCTCAGTTTCACCACCTGTAAAATGGGAGCGGGGTGTAGATGGTGTGTCGGTCTTTCTAACCTTCCACAGAGACGGCGGCATCGAGCTCCAAAGGTTTAGTTACTAGGAACTGGGGCTGGAGCTCAGGTACTTTTCTTCCTGTGGGTTTCAGCCCTGGGATGCACCCGACTTCGCAATCCAAAACGATTAGGGGGCTGGGAGGAGCAGGGTGGTTTTGTGGTGCTAGGAGAGGTCTGCTTGGGTTGGAGGATCTTGGGAAGAGCTTGGGTGTTAAGTGGTCAGGGGCGCCCCAGAAATGAGAAGTAACAGGGGACTCTACGGTCATTTATTGAGTACAGGTGTATGTGTGATATGAAGCTAAGATTATTTACCTAGTTTTTTCAAACTTTAATCCTCAGAACTACCTTAAAAGAGGTGGTTTCCGGAGAAACAAGACTGGAGATAAGTAAACTGCTCTTGCATTTACAGCTAGTAAATGGCCCAGCTGGGATTTGAGACCAGACTGTTGACTTCACAAAGTTTCCCTTTCCTTATCTATAAAATCTGAATCTATACCATTTCATAAAATCCATCCAGCTCCCCAAAATTATTTAACCCCAGATTACATCAGAAGACTAATTCTAGTTAGTCACTGGTTCTTGCTTAGTTTTCATATTTATAGAAAAGTTGGGTTAGATGATCTTTCTAGATCCTTCAGCCTGTAGGATATGTAATTTAATGATTAAGATACACTTTACTGTAGTTTTTTTTAAAAAGTATGGGAAAGAAGTATTAGACCGAGATTTGGTAGACCTGGATCCTGGTATCACTTCTGCAAGTAATTTAACCTTTCTATCACTCTTCTTTTTTTTTTAATTTTTGTTCCAACCCAAAGCACAGAGATGTCACTCAATTTTATCAATAAAATGAAAGTAAACCTTATCCTACCTACCTCTCAAGGTTAGCATAAGGAACAAGAATGAAGGAGATTTGAGAATTCTGTATCAGAAAAAACAAATTAACCTTTTGGAGGGTTGTAACACTCCCAATGATGAAAGTGATAAACGCTCTCCTTAGAAAAATACACATATATGTAAAAATTTTATCTCACTTGCAAAGAAGGAGCAGTAACTCAGTGACTTATTTTAACATTTCTTGTTGATCCCAGATTAAGAGCTCAGCTATTGGTTCATAGTCTCTCAAGTTTATGCTAAGTGTCACCAGAAATCTGTGTAACAGTCCTGATAAGTGATAAACTAAAAAAGTTTCTAGGCTTGGCGCCTATAGCTCAACCGGCTAAGGCACCAGCCACGTACACCTAAGGTGGCGGGTTCGAATCCCCAGCCTGACCCGCCAAACAACAATGACGGCTGCAACCAAAAAATAGCCGGGCGTTGTGGTGGGCGCCTGTGGTCCCAGCTACTTGGGAGGGGGAGGCAAGAAAATTGCTAAAGACGGAGAGTTTGCTGTGAGCTGTTATACCATCGTGGGTGACATATACTCTGTCTCAAAAAAAAAAGTTTCTAGCTTGAGCTTTTCACTGTACAGAGATTTCCAGTGCTTTATAATTCATACTGGAGAACATGAAGCTGTTGGAGGACAAGAAGATAGTCCCATTGCACAAGATTGGTCCATACTGACTTTAATCTCCTCATTCTAATCTGAATAATCCAAGTGGTTCCTTCACTGTCATGGATTAAAATTGAATAAGCAATGGAAAGTACATTTTAAATGAGCTAACCACTTAAACTTCGTTTTTCTAGCAAAGAAGATGTGGCCGTGGGATTGGCTAGAGTAGAAGATGAGAAACAAATGATGATAAAAAGGAATAGTGAGTGTAATCTCCTGCCACAAGAACCCATTGCTTCTACTCAGTTGGGTGGTACTGCAGTGACAGAAAGCCATAAGTCTGTCCCATGTGGATGGGAAAGAGTTGTGAAGCAAAGGTTATCTGGGAAAACAGCAGGAAGATTCGATGTATACTATATCAGGTAAGCATGCAAAGTGCAGAAGATAGTACAGCCAAATAATTTTTGTCTAGAGAGATAATGGACAAGCAGAGCAGAAATCTTGGCTTATTTATATTTTCACCATAAAACCATTATATCTATCCTTCAATGTCACTGACTAATTACATGAAGTGATTTGAAGCCAGTTACATATGTTTTTTCCCTTAATACTATGATTAGTTTATGGGAAGACTGCAGTTAAACTATATGGTACTTACAAATTTATTTTATACCATCGTAGAGGAAGCCATTTAAAAGTGCCATTTATCGTTCTTTTTTTTTTTTCAAAAGACAGAGGCCCGTGGCAGCATATGGAAATTATTAGTTAGAAATCTGAAATGTGGTCCAGTTCATTTAAAAAGTCACTTCTATTTACTGGCAATAAGTTTCCTTTAATATCATTTTCTAGCCCACAAGGACTGAAGTTCAGATCCAAAAGTTCACTTGCTAATTATCTTCACAAAAATGGAGAGATGTCTCTTAAGCCAGAAGATTTTGACTTCTCAGTACTTTCTAAAAGGGTCATCAAATCAAAACATAAAGTCTGCAGCATGGCAATTCTGACATCCCAACTGCAAAATGAAAATAAAAATTCAAACTGGAACATCAGGACACGAAGCAGGTGCAAAAAAGATGTGCTTCCTCTGCCAAATAGTAGTGTGGAGTTGCAAGACAGCAGAGGACGATATAACTTTACTTCTACAGATTTGCTTTCGGAAGAGGATACGGGCATTAATGATGTTAACTTCAGAAAAGTTAGAAAGCCCAAAGGAAAGGAGACTATTTTGAAAGGAATCCCAATTAAGAAAACTAAAAAAGGATGCAGGAAGAGTCTTTCAGGTTCCATTAGAAGGAACAGAAAAACAGAATCTGTGTCTAATACAGCAGGTGCTGAAAGTGAGCCTATTGCCCAGGAAAGTCAGCTTGATAGAACTTTCTGCATTTCTGACAGCAGAGCAAGTGACGAGACCCTCAGTGTGACCGATGAAGAGAAGAACCTTGTAAAAGAAAAATCACTGAGTTCAGGATCAAATTTTTGTTTTGAACAAATAGATTCTGGCATCATAAACAAATTATGTTTGACTAAAGAAGCCAAACACAACAAGTATGAGGATACCTTAGCATCTGAAGAAATCAGAACAAAAGAAGTTGGGGAAAGGAAGGAGCATTTCCCTATTGACATTTTAAAATGTGACTCTGAAATGGACAACAATGGCTCACCAACCAAGAAAGACTTTACTGCTGGGGAAATATTTCAAGGTACACTGTGCCTTAAAGCGATACTAAACATTATGTGATGAGGAGTTGTATTTCATGGCTGTACATGGTTAAGATACGAGAATAGAACCAAGAAATAGGGCCTACTACCAGATATTTACCAGTTAAACCTAGTACCTTATCTAACTGATCTTCAAGCCCTTTCCTGTGACAGAAAATCAGTGGGCCACTGTTATGATGCCCCAGCAAAGGAGAGAGTCTTGCTGTTAACAGCTGCCAACATCTCTCCCTGGTGCAATAGTTGGGACTCTCCTTCCCAGCTGTGCTTTCATTTCCTTCCCTCTTTCCAGTCAGTAATCTTAAGACTATAAGGAAAATTAAAAGGCTTTACTTATCAAAAATTTGGGGAGGACTCCATTTATACCTAAAGCAGTTGAAAATAATTGATTTCTTCTCTTCATACCCTTCCTGTTACTTGTTACTAATGTGTGACTTCTGATTTAATTTTGTGCGTATTATAGTCATTTTTTTCTTCTATTATAATGTAATACTTCTCTAAAATGCTTCAGAGCTCTAAATAATTCAAAAGTGTAATCAGACTCGGTGCCTGTAGCTCAGCGGCTAGGGCACCAGCCACATATACCAGAGCTGGCAGGTTTGAACTCAGGCTGGTCCTGCCAAACAACGGTGACAACTACAACCAAAAAATAGCTGGGCATTGTGGCAGGCACCTGTAATTCCAGCTACTTGGGAGGCTGAGGCAAGAGAATCACGGAAGCTCAAGAGTTTGAGGTTGCTATGAGCTGTGACGTCACAGCACTCTACCCAGGGCAACATAGTGAGACTTTGTCTCAAAAAAAAAAAAAAATATATATATATATACACTCATATAATTCATCTATTATGTTCTTAATACAGAATTCAGAGCTTAGCAGTTTACTTTTCTAATACCTCAATGGATAAGAGATAAAAGGAGCTCTTTTGAGCAGACAAATGCAAATGTATTAGTAATTCATTATGTCACTGTGGTATAATGAATAATTAAAGGAGAATAGTAATGTTACTTAAAATACTGTGGGGAAACAGCCCTCACAGATTTGTGGAGCAGAAGATTAGGCTCAATTCCTGCTCTGAATACTAGTCATGATTTTATGTCTTTTCTGTGCCTAGAATTTCTCCGCCTTTAAAGAAAATAGGCAAATATACTTACAAACTGTATAAGGATTCTTCAAGTCTGTTCTTTAAAGACTTTGAGTTTCTTAAAGCTTTGAGGTTTATGTAGACTTCCTGCTAGCATAATGGGCAAATTAAATATTAAAAACATCCTTTTATGACTAAGATAGAAATATCTTATTCATCCTATGCTTAGAGAAATCTAGCTTCCAAGGTAAGATGAAGTACCCTTAGGTTACTCGGTGTCCAGTGGAGTAGTCAAAACTCCCATTAGAGCCAAACATGATGGCTCACACCTGTAATCCCAGCACTTCGGGAGACCAAGACAGGAGGATCACTTCACCCAGGAGTTTGAGACCAGCCTGGGTAATATAGCAAGATCCCATCTCAGAAAAAAATTAGCAGGGTTTAGTGGTACATGCCCTGTAGGCCCAGGAAGCTGAGGCAGGAGGATTGCTTGTGCCCAGGAGCTTGAGTTTACAGTAAGTTATGATCACACCACTACACTCCAGCCTGGGCAAAAGAGTAAGAACTTGTCCCTAACAAAAGAAAAAGAAATGCTTAGATGTTGCTGAGTAAACTAGTAATAAAAGAGACTAGTTAGTGATTATAAGAACCTACAGAAAAAGTTATCAAATAGCTAGTAAGAATAGTTTCCTTTGTTCTCCCTTTTACTTTTTTTTTTTTTGCAGTTTTTGCCTGGAGCCAGGTTTGAACCCACCACATCTGGTGTATGGGGCCAGCACCCTACTCCTCTGAGCCACAGGCGCCATCTCTCTCTTTCACTATTTACTGGGCTTTACCTATTCAAACTAAACAGCAAAAAACAGACTAATATTTTTGGAGACCTGGATACTTGTCCCAGTCTTAGTCAACCCTAGTGTCATTTTGGGTAGTTGTTTAATTTTGAAGACTTAATTTCTTCATCTGTAAAATGGAAGTAATAACCCTCATTAGATCTGTTTTTCACATCAAGAATGTTGTAAGGTAAAACGAGAAGTGAAAAAGATGGCTTCATGTTATACAAATGCAAAGTATTTTTAACTGATATACAAATTTAGTGTCTGTGGCTAAAGGGAGTATTAAATCTGATGATTTCAGAAATTTGAGAAGTCTGATAACACTGGTTCCCAGCAGACAGAACTTCCTAAGCAGACAATGGTCTTGGATGTTCCAGGGTTCAAGTCTTAGGTGTTTCTCCAGGTTCTGTTTTATCTGTATCCCCTTTTTTTGGATAGTAGTGTTCACTGCAGAAATTTTGGGAAACAGAAATAAAGAAAAGAAAATTACTACCTAACAACAACTATTATGGCTTATTTCATTCATAATCTATATATAGATAGATAGATAGATGTTTTTATATATATTCTATTTTTTTTTTTAAAGACAGTCTCAAGCTGTCAACTCTGGGTAGAGTGCTGTGGCATCACAGCTCACAGCCACCTCAAACTCTTGGGCTTAAGTGATTCTCTTGCCTCAGCCTCCCAAGTAGCTGGTACTACAGGTGCCCACCACAACACCCTGCTATTTTTTATTTATGTATTTATTTATTTATTTCTTATTTATAAAACTGGGATTGTGCTTGGCACCTGTAGCTCAGCAGCTTGGGCACCAGCCACATACACTGGAGCTGGCGGGTTCAAATCCAACCCCAGCCTGCCAAACAATTACAACTACAACCAAAAAAGAAAAAGAAAATGCTATAAAATTGGGATCATACATAGAATCTTGCTTTTTCATTTAGAAGTTATTGTCACAGGAAAATATTCAAGATTAGTCTCAAAAATATCTTAATGACCACATTGTAGAAATTTGTCACAGTTTAAAATCCATGCTATTTTTAATTTTACAATACTGTGTACTCTGAACATAGAGAGTAAACATAAAGAACTAGTGTAACACAGTGGTTAAAGGCATAGATTCTGGAGCCAGACTATGTGGATTTGAAATTTAGCTCTGACATTTAGTAGCTGTGTGACCTTGGACAAGTTACTTAGCTTCTCTGTGCCTCAATTTCCTTATAGGTAAAGTGGAGATAAAATAGTACCAAGCTCAGGGCTGTGCCTGTGGCTCAGTGGGTAGGAGGCCAGCCCCATATATCTAGGTTGGCAGGTTCGAAGCCAGCCCCAGCCAAACTGCAACAAAAAATAGCCAGGCATTGTGGCGGGTGCCTGTAGTCCCACCTACTCCAGAGGCTGAGGCCAGAGAACCCTAAGCCCAGGAGTTGGAGGTTGCTGTGAGCTGTGACACCATGACACTCTACCAAGGGTGATAAAGTGACACTGTCTCTGAAAAATAAATAAATAAAATAAAATAAAAATAGTTCCAAGCTCTTAGGTCACTAGTAGGATTAATTGGTTAATTTTCATAAAGGACTTAGGATAGTGCCTGTCATGCTTTATAATAGAGATGATATTATTAGCATCCCCACCTGAATATTTCTTTAAGCTAAACTATAGATTCTTTTTTTTTTTTTTTTTTTAAGACACAGTCTTACTCTTTTGCCCTGGGTAGAGTGCTATGGCTTACAGCAACCTCAAACTCTTGGGCTCAAGCGATCCTTCTGTCTCAGGCTCCCAAGTAGCTGAGACTATAGGTGCCCACCACAATGCCAAGCTAGTTTTTCCATTTTTAGTAGAATTGTAGTCTCACTCTTGCTCAGGCTGGTCTTGAATTCCTGAGCTCAAGCAATCCACCCACTTCAGCCTTCCAGAGTGCTGGGATTACAGGCATGAGCCACCATCCCTGACCTAAACAAACCATAGGTTCTATAAACAGTGTTCACTTTTCCTTTTCAGAAGACACCGTCCCACGAACACAAATAGAAAAAAGGAAAACAAGCCTGTATTTTTCCAGCAAATATAACAAAGAAGGTATACCTTTCCCAATTAAAACATCAGATTTTATATCTCTTTTGGGTTTCTAACTCTGATGCGGTATGTTTGTTTAGCTCTTAGCGCTCCACGACGCAAAGCCTTTAAGAAATGGACACCTCCTCGGTCACCTTTTAATCTCATTCAAGAAACACTTTTTCATGATCCATGGAAGCTCCTCATTGCAACTATATTTCTCAATCGGACCTCAGGTTTGTGGATTATTTCCATCTTTGTCTAAGTAGAGACAGTGTGGTAAGGAGAAGTTACTGAATCGAGTAGGAGGCTCAGGTGCTAATCAATTTCAAGTCTGATAGTAAAATTTGGAAGCTACAGCTAAAGAGAGTATTAAATATGATAGTGGAAATTTGATAAGTCTATTAATGCTGGTTCCCACTAGCATGACCATAGGTAAGGTCATTTCTCTCCCCTGTCATGTGTATATAAAAGCATCTCTAATTGAATGCACCTTGTGTCCTACACGCTTCTACTCTAGTTATCTGTTGATCTGATTATTTAAAAACTAATATCAGGGCTGGGTGAAGTGGTTCACACCTGTAATCTGAACACTCTAGGAGACCAGGGTCAGTGGATTGCCTGAGCTCACAGGTTCGAGACCAACCTGAGCAAGCATGAGACCCTGCCTCTAAAAATAGCCAGATGTTGTGGCAGGCACCTATAGTCCCAGCTACTTGGGAGGCTGAGGCAAGAGAATCACTTGAGCCCAGGAGTTTGAGCTTGCTGTGAGCTATGATGCCATAGCACCCTACCAAGGGCGACAAAGTAAGACTCTGTCTCCAAAAATAAGTAAATAAATACTAATATCAGGTCATGCACAATGGCTCACTCCTATAATCGCAGCACTTTAGAAGGCTGAGGCATAAGGATCGTGTGAGCCCAGGGGTTCAAGGTTATAGTGGTTGCACCATTGCACTCAAGCCTAAGCAACAGAGTGAGACCTTGTCTCTAAAAAGCCACAAACAAAAAACCCACTAATATCACGCAAGGCCAGTTTCAAAATAATTTGGACTGTTAGTCAATTAGATTAACTCTTGGTATTTGACTCTGAAAGTTGTTGCTAGTTCAGGTGATAGCTTTTTATCAGTGGTTAAAAAAACAAACCCTCTGAATGCGACTTCTAGATTTCTACCTACTACATCTGTAATTGGCCCACCTGGAGACTTGTAATCACACAGTTACTTTTACTTCTCAGGCAAAATGGCAATACCTGTGCTTTGGGAGTTTCTGGAGAAGTACCCTTCAGCTGAGATAGCAAGAACCGCAGACTGGAGAGACATATCAGAGCTTCTGAAACCTCTTGGTCTCTATGATCTTCGAGCAAAAACCATTATCAAGTTTTCAGGTATTTCCCCATATACCCGAAGGAAAAGAAAACAGCTATTGTGCCTATTTAAGAGAGCCACACCTTAAACTTTAATGTCCTCAGATGCTGTATTAGTGGAAGATTTTCAGATCAAGCAGCCAAGGCTATAAAAACAGTTTTTTGCCCCAAATCACAGTCACTTACTGACCTAGGCAATAAATCTTTGTCCAGGGCTGGGCACAGTGGCTTAAGCCTGTAATCCTAGCACTCTGGGAGGCCAAGGCGGGCTTATCACCTGAGCTAGGGTGACACCCCATCTCTAAAAATAGCCAGGCATTGTGACAGGCATCTGTGGTCCCAGCTACTTGAGAGGCTGAGGCAAGAGAATCACTTAAGCCCAAGAGTCTGAGGTTGCTGTGAGCTGTGATGCCACGGCACTCTTTTGAGGGCAGCTAAATGAGACAGTGTCTCAAAACAATAAATAAATAAAACAAAAATAAATGTATGCCATCCAAGCATAATTAGGAGTAGAAATCAGTGAAGCAGAAAGCCTAGTCCTTGACCTCAAGGACCTTACCTCTGTCTAGTTAGCACAGCGCAATATAGTGGTTAGAAGTGGCATATGATAAGGATGCTGCAGGAATTCATTCATAAGGAAGGGCAGTCACAGCTGAGGTTGTTAGCAACGTTCTTGTCCCTTTCTGCAGTCTCCATCTTGCCTGAATCACCACATTTAGGGAAGGTGTCTTTCTAGAGGCTGACCCGATGTATTGAATGTTGTATTCTTCAGACGAATATCTGACAAAGCAGTGGAAGTATCCGATTGAGCTTCATGGGATTGGTAAATATGGCAACGACTCTTACCGAATTTTTTGCATCAATGAATGGAAGCAGGTGAGGCCCTCTCCCAATTGTGACATACAGACCCAGCACATTTGGTCTCTGAGGCAAAATAACTTCATCCTTAAAGCTCAAACTGCTTCTTGACTACAAGTGCTATTCAGTCCCAGCTTGAGGGGCAGCAGGTCGTATGGGGTTTTTGGCAGCAAGGAGAGTATCTGTAGACACACTCAAGTCCAGAAAGACCTGTTGGAATGGCCCCTGACTGACCTCCAGGGGGTTGTCACTTCTGACCCTGTCGTATCATGCCACGTTCATCTACTGTCTCGGCCTGACATGGCTTTCCTTCTGTCAGAAGTACACTAAGGGCAAGCAGGCAGATTTGGGCTTGGGAATGTGCGTGTTTGTTGGGTTTCTCTCTTCGTGGTCTCAGAGTATTTTTGTGGTAATGGCCCATTCACTTATGGCATCCTCTGGTGGCAGCTGGTGGGTGGCCTGGGATGCTGCCCTCTCAGCTTGTGACTCATCCTACAGCATTCAGCCAGTAGGTCTGGCCAACCCTATGCTGAAGGACACTGTCCTGTCCCTGCTTCACCCTCTTGGAGTCTGTTTACCCTCTTGGAGTCTGAAACATCCTTCTAGAAAATGGGGTATTAATGCTTGACTCTTGTCACCACCCCATGCTTCATGTTGTGGGGAAGATCAGTACTAAATAGGAAAGTGCATGGTACAGATTATTTTAATATTAGTACGATTTAAAACATTTTTAAATCTCTTTAGGTTAAAGGTCATGATGTTTAGGTATATAATCTACTGTTTCCCACGAACCTTTAAAAAGCCAATTAAAAATTATTTCTGACTAACTTACATAAGACCTCTGTTTCCTAATATACTATATTTCTTCCAGGTGCACCCTGAGGACCACAAGTTAAATAAATACCATGACTGGCTTTGGGAAAATCATGAAAAATTAAGTCTGTCTTAAAACCCCTGGAAGTTTTCAAACTCGTCTTTATAACGTGTTGCTTTGCACTTGAGTTCTTAAGAGCTGCATTACACACAACCAGCCGTTTTCCCATAGATTTTAATTAGCCTGACTGGCTGTTCAATTGTATATTTTCCAGATGTGTGTGTCACTGGTAGATCTTTATTACTGAATGTGCCAGAACATATTTTGAGACTAAATAAATTACTTGACAGCAATCCTAAAAATGTATGACTTTTCTGATAAAGTATGATGAGAAAGTGAAAAACACTTTTATAAACTATTAGTAATGCAGAGCAAAAAACATTTTCTTTGTATGTGTATGTATGTAAGAGAGAGACGGAGTCCTACTTTGTTGCCCTCAGTAGAGTGCTGTGGCATCACAGCTCCCAGCAACCTCAAACTCTTGGGTTCAAGCAGTTCTCTTGCTCAGCCTCCCAAGTCGCTGGGACTGCAGGCACCCAGCACAACGCCTGGTATTTTTTAGAGATGGGGTCTTGCTCTTGGCTCAGGCTGGTCTTATACTCCTGAGCTTAAGCAGTCCACCTGCCTTGACCTCCCAAGTGCCAGCATTGTGTGCTATTGATAACTACACAGTGGTTCTTAGGAATTGTAGATCTGACCCTGGCATCTGTTTGATAACCCAATGTGAGTGTCCGCTTGCCACTGAGGTTGAGTTCGCTGGCTTCTGGCTCATGCCTTTTACCTTGATCCCTTTGTGAAAACTCATCTCATTGTCCAATTAGAAGATGGGACATTTTATGCAGTTTTTGTCACAGGTGTTGTAATGTTGTAGCTCAAATAGTGAAACATTTACCTTAGAAAGAACTAATGAAACTGGCCGGGTGCAATGGCTTATACCTGTAATCCTAGCACTCTGGGAGGCCGAGGCAGGTGCATTGCCTGAGCTCACAGGTTTGAGACCAGCCTGAGCCAGAGCGAGACCTCGTCTGAAAAAAAAAAAAAAATAGCCGGGTATTGTGGTGGGCACCTGTAGTCCCAGCTGAGGCAAGAGAATCGCTTGAGCCCAAGAGTTTGAGGTTGCTGTGAGCTATGATGCCATAGCACTCTACCAAGGGCGACAAAATACAAAGCTATCTCAAAAAAAAAAAAAAAAACCAATGAAACAAAAAATGTTAAGTTATTAAGTCATAATTACCAATCACTGTTTTAAATTATAAGTTGACGATTAACTTGATTGAATAAATAGAAATAAATCAGTTGTTGCCTTTGTTATCGACTGGTGTGTAGACAGGCTGCACAGGGATGACGCGCAAATTCTTAAAGCATTCCATATTTTAAAAGAAAAAAACAAAAAAGAAAACCAGGAAACAGGTAGTGGTCAGGTGACCTCACATGCAAGGAAGGGCAAGAACCAGTGTGATCCAGTGCCAGTGGGTTGTTGCCACTTCAGTGAGCAAGTATCAGTTTTTATTTATTTTTTGTTTTTATCAAATCATAACTTTGTACATTGATGCATTTATGGGGTTCAATGTACTGATTTGATATACAATGCTTACACTGAACTAAGTAACACATCATCACAATTATACTCTTAATAGTTTTGAAATGTGCCATTGCATCATGCACATTAGGTGAGGTCCCCCCAATACCCTCCCTTCTCTCATCCCCCCTTCCCTCCCCTCTCTCTCCTCTTCCCTTCTACTTTTTGGACTGTAGTTACATTTTACCATTCATATGAATGTGTAGGTGATTATATATTGATTTCATAGTAGTATTGAGTACATTGGATACCCTTTTTTCCTTTTTTTGGAGACAGGCTCATTATGTCACCCTCGGTAGAGTGCTGTGGCATCTCAGCTCACAGCAACCTCAAACTCTTGGGCTTAAGCGATTCTCTTGCCTCAGCCTCCCAAATAGCTGGGACTATAGGCACCCGCCACAATGCCTGGCTATTTTTTGTTGCAGTTGTCATTGTTGGTTAGCTGGCCCAGACCGGGTTCCAACTTGCCGACTTCAGTGTATGTGGTTGGTGCTGCAATCACTGTGCTGCGAATGCCAAGCCTTTTTTTTCCCTGTTCTTGAGATACTTTACTGAAAAGAATATGCTCCAGCTCCATCCAGGTAAACATAAAAGATATGAAGTCTCCATCTTTTGTGGCTGCATAGTATTCCATGGTATACATATACCACAATTTGTTAATTCATTCATGGATCAATGGCCACTTGAGCTGTTTCCATATCTTGGCAATTATGAATTGGGATGCAGTAAACATTCTGGTGTAAATGTCTTTGTTGTAAAATAATTTTTGATCATCTGGGTATATATCTAGTAGAGGAATTGCAAGATTAGACAGTAGGTCTACTTTTACTTCCTTGAGTGTTCTCCAAACTTCTTTCCAAAAAGGTCGTATTAGCTTGCATTCCCACCAGCAGTGTAGAAGCGTTCCCTTCTCTCCGCAGCCACACCAACATCTGTAGTTTTGAGATCTAGTGATGTGGGCTAATCTTACTGGAGTTAGATGGTATCTCAAAGTGGGTTTGATTTGCATTTCTCTGATGATTAAGGATGACGAGCATTTTTCATGTGTTTGTAGGCAGTGTGCCTGTCTTCATCAGAGAAGTTTCTGTTCCAGTCTCTTGCCCACATAGAAATGGGGTTGTTTGTTCTTTTTTATTGATTAGTTTGAGTTCTCTGTGGATTTTAGTTATCAGACCTTTGTTGGAAGCATAACCTACAAAAATCTTCTCCCGTTTTGAAGGTTGTCTGTTTGCTTTACTTACTGTGCTCTCGGCTGTGCAAAAGCCTTTTAGTTTGATCAGATCCCAGTAATGTGTTTTTGGTGTTGCTTCAATTGCCTGGGGTACTCATAAAATATTGTCTCAGGCCGATTTCTTTAGGTGTTTTCCCTGCATTCTCTTCTAATATTTTTATGTTTCATGTCTTAAGTGTAAATCTTTTATCCAGCCAGAATCAATTTCTGTTAATGGCGAAAGGCTAGTATCAGTTTTTAGAAAGGGTTAGATTTTGACCAGAGAACAGTAGAACTGGCCACACCTTCCCCTCCCTAAGGCAAATATCTGCTTCCCATCACAGTTTCATTTAATGAACATCGAAGTAGCATTCACAAAGTGCAAAGCCCTGAGCTGGGGCGGGACACAAAGATAAAAAGGCTCTGGAGAGACCCTCACAGGGAAGCACATACTATAATCTCAGTCCATCCAGAGTGTGGGCCTGTAGGGACACAGGAAGTTAGCTCACCGCAGGGGAGCTCAGACCACAGGGTCATTCCAGGTCTGGCTCTTCCTCTTGCGGGTGAGGTTGCTGACCACCACCTGTTTCCTGATCTTTTTTGTTTTGTTTTTTAAAATATGGAACACTTCACAAATTTGTATATCATCCTTATGTAGGGGCCATGCTAATCTTCTATTGGTCCAATTTTAGTATTTGTGCTGCCGAAACAAGTATTATTTTTTTTGTTTGTTTTTGTTTTTGAGTCAGGGTCTCACTCTGTTGCCCTAGCTAGAGGGCAGTGGCACAATCATGGCTCATTGTAACCTCAAACTTCCAAGCTCAAGCAATCCTCTTGCCTCAGCCTCCCTAGTAGCTGGGTCTCCTGGCCATCATACTATGTTGGCCTCCCGAAGTGGTAAGATTATAGGCATGAGCCATAGCACCTGGCCTCATCCTTTTAAAACAGGATAGTAGGAGGGTGGCACCTGTGGCTCAAAGGAGTTGGGCGCCACCCCATATACTGGAGGTGGTGGGTTCAAACCTGGCCTCAGCCAAACTGCAACAAAAAATGACCAGGCGTTGTGGCAGGTGCCTGTAGTCCCAGCTACTTGGGAGGCTGAGGCAAGAGAATCGCCTAAGCCCAAGAGCTGGAGGTTGCTGTGAGCTGTGATGTCACAGCACTCTACCGAGGGCGAAAAAGTAAGACTGTCTCAAAAAAACAAACAAACAAAGTGAGACCTGGCAAACGTCCTAAGATTCATGGAGAACTGGGGATTTATTACACCAGATTCAGGGGACACCAGCCAAACGAAGAAGTCCTGTCTTTTACCAAGCCCATAACTGGGCAGGGCTCAGATTTGCCCTTCCATTTTGGGGCGAAGGGCGCAGGGATCTGCAGGCACCAGGCCCAGGGGCGGTTCACGTCCTGCCAGCCCCCTAGCACGTGAGGGCGTCCAGCCAATCAGCGCAGGTCGTCTGTAGTCATGGCAACAGGATGCTTAGCTAGCGCTTAGCGCATTTAGCAAGACACTGTTTTGTAGTATCCTGGCACGCCCAGAGACACAGACACATTTACACACACCCCTTTTTAACCTCTCCCAGCACCGCGATCATGGACGATTCCTTTGAACCCATACAGTGGCCGTTCTGGTCGCTGCTCGGTAAGTCCCGGGGAAGCAGCGCTGTCTGCAGTAAGCCCTTAGTGCCCTGGAAGTTCGAAGGCGTCGTGAGGGCAAGGACCAGGCCAGAGCTCTCACTGTGCCGTCTGCCCTCCGGATGAGAGGTTGCCAGAGAGTCAGGGACAGGTCGTGTACATTTCTGAGATTTCCAGGCCAGGTTTAGTTGAAGGAGCTAGCCGAATTGTGTTGGTTTGGAAACAGAGGCCTGACCACGTGCCCGGGCCCCTCCAGCTCCCTCTGTTTCTCTGGGGGACATTATTGCATTCTGCATTAATGAGAAGAGGCATGGGGAAGACTTTGGTCTTCAAAGTTTTGCCAAGAAAGTGCCAGGGACCAAGCACTGCCATTTCAGAAGTGAAAGGCAGGGCTCCGCACCTGTGGCTCAAGTGGCTAAGGCACCAGCCACATACACCTAAGGTGGTGGGTCGGAATCCAGCCCCGCTGCCAAACAACAATGATGGCTGCCACCAAAAAACTAGCTGGAAAATGTTCTTCTTAGCAAAGTATCACAGGAATGGAAGAAAAAGTATCCAGTGTACACAGCCCTTTTATGAAACTAATTTATAGCTCTC